CCGCTGCCAGGCAGGCCTGGGAGCCTCACCACCACCACCGGTCACCTCCACCGACGCCGTTGGCCAGAGCGGGAGGGTGTCTGCGGGTGCTGGAGGGGCTCCCAGCTTTGCAACCTGCTGCCCCCCCAGTTTAGGAGCCTCATCTTCTGGGTCCTCAGCGCAGCCTGTCTGGGGATGATATTGGGGCAAATGAGCGACTTCTTGGGGGGCTCAGCAGCCTGTTTCCACGGGAACGGGGGCAGGTGCCTGTGACGTGCTGGCAGGTCCTGGCACGCGTGTGCTCAGGGGAACCTCTCGCGCACTTGCTTTTTTTTTTTTAAGGTTTTTATTTATTTGTTTTAAAATATGTTTTTATGGATTTTTTTAGAGAGAGAGGAAGGGAGAGGGATAGAGAGATAGAAACATCTATGAGAGAGAAACATCATGGACCTGCTGCCTCCTGCACGCCCCACACTGGGTACCAATCCCGCAACCCGGGCCTGTGCCCTGACCGGGGATCGAGCCGGCGGCCTCTTGGTTTCTGGGTTGACCCTCAACCGCTGAGCCACACTGGCCGGGTTTTTTAAAAGTTTTTAAACACTAGCAACAGGCTTAGGCAGTAAAATCAACTTGCTCTTGCCCAGCAGCCTCCCCTCAATGACATTTTAATCAGAACGGCTCAGAGGGAGAGAGGCTCAGATCTCTGTCGTTCTAATGTCCGCTCCCAGCCCAGGCCGAGGGCCCTGATGCCGGGGGAGACCCCGGGCGGATCTCCTGTCCCGCGGCAGCTGTTTGAGTGGCGGTTAGAGACAGGGTGCCCCCCGGGGGGAGGGAGGCAGGGGAGGCTGGTCCCTGCAGGTGGGGGTGGGGGTGGGGAGGGCAGTGCCTGCGAACAGTGGGGCTGGGTGTGTGGCGGCTCTCGACTCGGGTGCCACGGAGGGAGGGCCAGGGGTTTGTCATCCCAGTGCCTGTGGCCAGGACACCCAGCGGGCGGGTCTGTCACAGCTTCTCGGGGACCCTTGTGTTCAGACGCTCACCCACCTCTGAGTGGGGAGGGGCTCTCCAGGCCTGAGACAGGAGGGTGTCCTCTGTTGATAACCTTTTCCCTAGAGACGTGAGGCAAGGGAGGTGGGAGCGGTTGCCAGCCCACCCTGGATGGGGCCTCTTTTAAGACAGTCTAGCCCGGCCGGCGCGGCTCAGGGGCTGAGCATCGACCTAGGAACCAGGAGGTCCCGGTTCGATTCCCGGTCGGGGCACAGGCCCGGGTTGTGGGCTCGATCCCCAGTGGGGGGCGTGCAGGAGGTGGCCGACCCGTGATTCTCTCTCATCACTGATGATTCTCTCTCTTTCTCCCTCTCCCGCCCTCTCTCTGAAATCGATAAAAATATATTTTTACAAGAAAATAAATAAGAAAGACAGTGTAAGGCCTGCCCGGCCTTGGAGCTGGTGTCTCTTCACGGTGTGTGGTTTTCCGGTGCCGCCTCTGAGTACGCCGGGGCGTAGGCCAGTGATGGCGAACCTTTTGAGCTCGGCGTGTCAGCATTTTGAAAAACCCTAACGTAACTCTGGTGCCGTGTCACATATAGAAACTTTTTGATGTTCGCAACCATAGTAAAACAAAGACTTATATTTTTGCTATTTATTTTATATATTTAAATGCCATTTAACAAGGAAAAATCAACCAAAACAATGGGTTCGCGTGTCAGAGGTTCGCCATCTAGCACTTACTGTGCATCGACCCTTGGCCACAGCAGCACCTCATGTTTGTCCAGGAAGCGACTGGAGCAATAAAAAGTGCACGAATGGAGGATGTTCCAGGCCAAGAGGGAACACCGTTCGTGCCTTCAGTGTGGCCGTAACTTTGGGCTCCAGCTTTTTGTTTGTTTTCTTTAAAAACAAGCGAGCAAGGTCTTCTCAGAGCGTCTGGGGATGTGTGGGGAGGCCCCGTGTGTGGGGCCATTTCAGAATCGGGGCGACGGGAGAGCGGGTCACCTGCCTGTGATGTTGGGCTCACGGTCGAGGTGCGCGTCCGACGTTGCCCCCGTGGGATGGGGGACGGTCCCTGCGCCCTGGCCAGGCGCCTCTCGTCGTCACGGTAAACGCTGCCCCTTGTTCCCTGGGTGGCCGCGGACAGCAACAGCCTTCAACCGAACAAGTTCTTTTCTCCGCGTTCTGAGCGCGTCTCCTTTGCACGAGGGCCGCGCTCTCGCCGCGCCCTGTGAAGCCCCTTTTGTTCAGGGTTGGGCGGCCGTGTGATTTCCAGGGACTCAGCCAGCAGACTTGAGACCTTTTTGGCTCCAGTTCACAGGCAGCCTTCTGGGCAGCACAACTTACTTACCCGTCTCTCCCCTCCCGTCCCCCCCCACCCCCAGAGCGATCCCCGCACCGGCCCATCCTCCAGGCCGGGCTGCCCGCCAACGCCTCCACGGTGGTCGGGGGCGACGTGGAGTTTGTCTGCAAAGTGTACAGCGATGCCCAGCCCCACATCCAGTGGATCAAACACGTGGAGAAGAACGGCAGCAAGTACGGGCCCGATGGGCTGCCCTACCTCAAGGTGCTGAAGGTGAGGACGCGCTGCGGCCGGAGCCGCCCCCACGGGCCCCCACGGGTCCGGCCACGGTGCTTGGATTTCCTGTTGAGTTTGAGAGATGATTCTCCTATGGGGCCGCACAGAGAGTTTGGGGAATTAGCTCCCTAGTCAAAACCAGAGGGACTTGGGGGCGGGGGGACCCCTGGAGTGGGAGTCAGAGAAGGTCAGTCATTTATTGGCCTGAGGTCTTTGGGGAGACGTTTCGGCTCAGCTGCCCGTCTGTAAGGGTGGGGACCCCGAGATCATCCCCGTGCAGGGCGGCTGCACCGAGTAGGTGGGGGGGGGGCGGGGAACGGTCGCCAGAAAGAGCTTTTTAGCCCCTGGGGGTGGGACCGATGTTACTGTTTCGCTGATGTTTTCTTTTCGTGTGACATTAGGGTCCAGTGTGCGCAGCCACCTTTTAGCGACCACTTAGATTCTCCTTAGAGAAACCCCTTTGCCGTGGAAATTCATTCACATGCGGTTTAGACAGTAAACTTTATATTTTATTATTTTTTTAAAATATATTTTTTATTGATTTCAGAGAGGAAGGGAGAGGGGGAGAGAGAGA